AGAGCCAATGACTATCTCGCAAAAGTAAGGTGTCGCCAAAATTAAGTGATCTACAGTATTGCTGCCAATTAAAAATGTTTTTTACTTTTTCAGGTGATGAAGGTATATTGCTGCATAAGAAAGGGAAGTTGACGATTGAAACGTTTCACGTTTATCATAGAGCTTAGCTCTTAGATTACCATTAACGTTTTTTTTCAGGTATATTAACGCACTTTAAAAAAAAAACAACAAACAAATGTGTCAGACTCTGTGGTATCTTTTTCCTCAAGCTCACCGGGATATATCGTATCGACATGAGAATGGAAATTACCATTGTTAACTGACAATACGTCGTCGATATATCTAAATGTAGAGTTGAAGGCCACAGCAAGTGTTTTCTTCTTTTCACGAATAAGATTTTGGAAAAATTCTGCTTCATATGAATTCAAAAATAGGTCTGCTAATAACGGGGTGCGGTTGGTACCCATGGAATTTCCAACAGATTGTTGGACGACCTTGCCTCCAAAAACCACATAGATATTGTCAATCAGAAACTCGAACATCCTTTGAATGTTTGGTCAACTTCAAAATAAACGCACTGAAAAAAAATATGCGATTCAAGTAATTCCACCTCAACTTCAGTGAAACAACAGATCAAGTGCTGATTTGATTTTCTTTTCACAATTCTGCTTTAAAAACTCCCATGCTCTTGGTCAGGAGTGCAACAATTATGTTACGATTCTTGTATAGATTGAAAACGAGTTAATATAAAAATAAATATGATAAAGTAAAATGTTTCTGATTACCTCAGTTGCATAAAGTGTTTGCCCTGTGGAGGAAAAATATGGAACAGAACATATTTTGCTTTTAAATATATTTATATTTCCGCTAGTTTTTGGATTTAAATAGAGAATAATTCAAATTATTATATGATTGAATAATTTCCATCTCTCTGATTGGCTGAGATCCAACTATGTTAGAAAAATACTACGTTGTATTGACCTGCACGTGACGTCCCAGGTGAATACAAGGATTTATTTCCTCTACATTGATCTAAAAATAGATCGGGAAATTCCAAATTGATACAAAGCGTTTTGGAAAGCTATTTAAAACACTTTTTTCATGTGAACAAAACATATTAAGCAAACATATATTTTTGGGTGAGGGTGGTAAGAGGGGATGCAGGGACCCCCTTTAACACTTTTACTGAACAACAATTTTTACTTTTTGGCTGTCAGTTTTCTCTGATAATACTCCTTCATTTAAAAATCTATCCTATAAAAAAGACTGACATTATATTTTTTTTCATGGCAACTAAAATTGATAAAAAAATTTCAAATTGCTACGACAAGTAAGGTTTATTTACATTTTAATTTTGCTTCTCTCTTGTATTTGGCTAGGACTTAATTAAATGCAAACAGGTAATGAACTGTATAATTTTATCAGTGAATCATATAATAAAACAATTACATGTATTGCTGTTTTTTCAGTCAATACAATGATTTAGCCAAAAATCGAAGTACAGTATTATACTCCTCAGATGGCTAAATCATTGTATCGACCTCAAAAACAGCAATAATTGTATAATATAAAGTCATCTTAAATACTGTCTTGTGTTTTGATTTTGAAGTAATTTTGTTACAACATGATACTGACAACACTTTATGAATGTTTGTATTCTTAGATCTTAATTTGCAATTTAACTGCAGTCAGGAGTGAAACAAAACTTTGATAAAATGAAAAAAACCCCACTATTTTATGTTCAAAACATACGAGGGGTTATCAGAAAGTTCGTGGACTATCACCATGAAATTAAAACCGCTTTAATTACATCAGTGAATTTTGAAATATATATAACTATTCAGCATCACCTTTTTTTTAATCTAAAGAATAAACCATGAATCATAAAAATTAATTTTCAATAAATTAGTAATGTTTTTGTAATCAATGGTATGTCCAGTCGGCGCAACCTCAAACACGAGGTTTTTGCGACCTATGTGTGACGGAGAAAAACTCTTTTGATATGATCATTTGACATCCAAAAATCCAATTACTAGTAATTCAGGTGTGTGTTGGGACACAATTGTTCCATAAGATATGAAATTTTTTACTTCATTCTGGAATTTCTATGAAATGTTATCGTAAATTTTACATGAAGTGTCCAAACAATTAGGCCTTGAAAATGACGTCAAAAAGGGGAGGGTTTCCTTTTCCAACATTCTATAAGGTTTTGCCCCCCTGAAAAACATGATATGGACCTAAGAAATGTTTAAACTGGCTATAAAGAAATAATATGCATTCAGAGCACTGGTCTTTTAACGTCAAAATAGATTCGGAGAGAAAAGGAATGTACAGCTAATGTCGATTTGTAATCAAGGTACGAAAAAATCAATCACGTCAAAAAATGACGTTGATCATGTGTTGTTGATATTGAACTCCCAAAAGTAAAATATGCCGGCACAATCAAGCGAGGATCTCTCCCTATATATATATATATCCATTTGGAATGTTATATTCATTGAAAGCCGCTGTTCATGACATTGTTAAGTCATACAGTATAAGCAAGGCGGGTTTTTTTGTCATTACTCAGCTCCAGCGAATCTCATCAAAATAAGTGTATGAGGTAGAAGAAGCGAACATTGAAAAACAATGACGTTGTCGGACGTCATGAAACTAAACGGCGACAGCGCCGGGTGATCATATAATGTCGTTTTTATTTTATAATAATTTGGCAAATAATGAACGTATCAAGCTAAAATTTTCAACATTTCTTTATTTTTTGTTGTTTTATGTTCCATGTAAAATTTAAAGGCACAGATTACATAGTTCCAATTTTATAGCCTCAGTCCATGAACCTTTTTGATAACCCCTCGTAAATTCTATAAACAAATTACAAACATCTTACAATCAATTCACACAATATATAGTTTTCATCACCTTTCGTATATTTTTAAATACAATGTATATTTAACACATATTGCAAATAAAAATGTTTTAAAGTCTTGAAAATATGAGCAAATTGCCGAAAACGACAAACTTTATTAAAACAGGCGAAACTAAGCATAAGTTACTGTGTGTAATAATTCTTAAAACAATGTGAAATAAAATTTAAATCAAATGTCAGGAGTGCAGTGCAATACATAAGGTTATTTCAAAATCTTGTAACTTTGTAAGAAAAATTGTAAATCAAAATTCTTTTTTGTTAATATTTTTTGCGTATTAAAACTTATCAAACCAGAATAAAAAAAAACTACTGTAAAATAACAACCAAAAACCAGTTTTTTTTGTTTGTTTGTTTGTTTTTTTTTTAAAAATATACTGTACTTGTGTGAAAGAAACTCGACAGAGTATGCCCACTCCTCCATAACACATGAGATTCGTGTTTGCTCTGCTCGAATTTGTATTGATAAATGGATTTTTGAGCTTGAATACATGTACTTTTCGTTATCTCCATATCATTCAATAACTAAAATGCATAATTATTCAATTTGATGATATAAGTGAAAAAAAAAGTGTTATAGGTAGTAGAAATTTTTCAAAGAATGTCAATTTGGAAGTCATTTCTTTTGAAATCACCCTTTATAATGTCTTTGCTGTTTCTATCATAAACATCTTCGCAGTAAACATGTCCATTGCACAACCTCTATTTCGGTTTAGAATGTGTAATGCAATATGCACAGCCGAGATCAATATTCAAAGGTAATGATGCAGTTTAGTCTCCGATACACTGTGCAATTAGAGGTTATTTAAACCAAAACATGTTTTCTTAGGATGTAAAGACGGGATTTAATGTCGCAGCTGTGAGAAAATAGCGGGTTATGTAAAAATAAAATTTCTGCAACAGATGTGACGTTAATTTTCTTAGTTAACAAAGAAATAAAGATAATTTATATATATTTATAGCTGTATGAAACACATTTAAATTAAAATTAAATACATGTACGTATACATTATATTTTCTTCAAAAGATGGGTATGCCATTGTATGCACAATTGCTGGAAGGGGTTGTTGCTCGAAAAATTAATACAGGAGGATTGCTTAGTGTCATTTACTGACTGATAAACGGCAATACTAAAAAAATGGAAATAGTGGGTGTTATTATACTACCAGTGACAATGACAATGCTTAATCTAGTGACAAAGTCCATGTTACACCCAAGAATAGAGACAATCTAAAGTAAACAGTCTACAGGCACGTAGCATCAGGTAGGGGGGCTCCAGTTATTTTCCAAAAACAATTTTTAACCATGGAAAATGTTCCTTGAAAGGCCGATTGCCCCCCTTTTTTTGTTACAGTAAGGTCAAGTAAGGGTATTGTAGTAGAGTATTAATAAAAATGTAAAACACCCCCTTCCCTCCACGAATTAGGATTTTCTAGTTTGATTTCTTTCTTTCTCTTACTTTTTTCTTCTTGCTTGTGAAGTTTTTCCAAGTAATTTTTTTTTCTCTAGGCAATATTACAACTCAGTTATATGCATATCATAGTCCAAAATTATCAGAGGTAAACAACCGAGGACTTATTTACTTTTTCTAAAAAAATTTGGCACAAGAAAAGATAATTCTCTAACTTTTTAAGGACTATAGTCTACTACCAAATGCTATACATGAAAAACCTCGTTGTGTTCCTTGTCAATAGAGGAAAAAAATAAATACTGTTCAAATTAACTTACAACATTCATACCTTCATTCATTTTATTTAATTGATAACCAGAATGACAAAATATTAATATTTGTTTGGATTTTTATGTCAAATGAATTTTATACAATCAATCTTTATATAACAGTAATAGTACAAATACATTAGGTACCTGCTGTGAAGTAGAGTGGTAGTTCCTTTTACACACTTATCGTGAATGAGAAGGATTACTCTATCTATAAAATCGTTGTAAGTAACTTTTTAATGGATACCTAATATGGTGATGCTGTCTTTGACACAAATGAAAACGCCAGGTTGGCATTTGAATGTCATTTATGAGTATTAAATAAATAAGAAAGTAACAAAGATAGTCAACACATGGTATATGTATATTTGAACACAATTACACGTAAGCACATTATGTAATATAAACAAACTTATATAGATCATAAAATCCACAGTTTCAAATATAATGCGATGATATTCAATGATATGATATTTTACAAAAATGTACAATAAACAGAATGCTTATTTCTGACCTAAACAGCGTCAAAGATGGGGTATTTTTATATGTGATAAAAGATAAACTACAAAAAATAGAGGTACTCTGATCGAGCACTGAGCCCACTAAATGATGACCCTGTCTCTCATATGATAATAAAGGTAAAGCCCATGTTTTGCGCTGGGAGACCCGAAATAAGTGTCAGATCAAAAAGTAAAATAGGAGGTGCACAATGACATTATGTAATAAAGAATCTGTGAAAGTATCATTAAATTTTATTCACCGGTATACATAGGCAATTTAGCCACATATGATCCACATATGCATTACCTTTCATATGAGGATGATATGTGGATCATATGAGAATCATATGTATTTACAATTTTATTTTTACTTTTGAAATTTTTGTAGAGACCATTCTGAGCCACAAAGAAATTGTTCAGGAAGGGGAGAACTGGTGGATTTGCGTTTTTGGTACAGTTCAAAGCGATTTTCAAAATGATCATGGAAGATCAGAGGGAGGAAAACTGAAAATATTGAAAGATAAAGAAGGAAAAAGGACAAGGAAATATATGGAATAATTATGAAATATGAATGATGTACACAATCTTGTCTGAATTCGACCTGTAAAGATTTCCCATTCTCAAATAACTTGATTTTTCATAAATTTACGATTGAGAATACATGACAAATGTTCTTGTTGATATTTCAATTTTGCTGTGGACACTTTCACGTCATATGGTATTTTTATACAAGTACTAGCTGCAGATCTGTACGTAATGGTTTTATATATTCATCTTTGACCATAACGCTACAGATCCCGTAATGCAAAAAATGTGCAATTTAAGGCACAATATTTTTTGCGCACTTTTGGAGAGAATTTTTCCACTTTCCAGCATTGGAATGCATCAGTAAATTCGCGACTCTTTCAGTGTTGTGGAAGTACTCTGTACATAGCCCACAGCAGAGCATATATTACCGTGTCCTTTGGTCAATGAAAATTAAAAAAAAGTTGGACAAATCGCTCTTTTCACTTCTTTATATTCATGGTATTGGTGTCAAAGCCGACGCAAGGCATTAATCTACTTTGATACCTGGGCGTTTGTTTCTAAAAATCTGAAAAATGTTGATAAAGTCGAAAGAAACGATGACAAAAACGACGAGAAAAATGACAACTACTCCGACTAATCCAACGTTTCTGGCAGAAATCCTGTCGTCCGGTGCGCTGATAAGAGTACGTTTGTGCTTGGTTGTGTTTTTACTGTCGATGGTTAAATTAGTTTGAATAGCATCAATCTTCTTTTGAAGGATCTCCGGTGTCATTTCTGTAAATCAAAAATGTTTTCAAATAAACTTTTTCATCTTTCGTATTAATGTTCGTTCGTTAATTAGCTTACTATTATGTGTATATTTATATAATTATATCATAACATACCAGGACACCACTCAGAAAGTGGTTTTGCTTCAGAGGTTGGATAAAGGTCCTTGCTGAATACAAAAAAACCTTAAAATAAAAAAAAAATTAGAAAGGAGTATTTCTTCCTCTCTTTTTTTTTGGCTCTTTTTTTTTTTTTTACTAAAGCCGGATAGGCTCATTTTATCAAGAGAAAAAAATATTTAACTCTTTATAACGATAAATTAACTCGTTATAACATGTAAAATGAGATACTAACTTGTTATTACGAGATAAATTATACATTTTAACGAGATAACTAACTCGTTATAACAAGATAATAATCTCTTTATAATGAGTTAAATTTTTCATCTTGGCAAAAATGAGCCTATCCAGTTTTCATATTTTTTGCATCTTGACGACAAGATATATCTGCAAATGACAACTTGAAGGTCATAATACATCTAATAACAACTGTAGTAGTATGCGTTTCAATTGAATTTGTTGAAAATCTTGAAACATCATCTATTTCAGAACCTTGCCTAGATTTAGAAGTTGATCCTACTCATATTTGCTCATAGAGCTGAAAATATGTTGTTGATAATTCATAGTTCAAATATATAGTAAAAAATTAATAAAACTAAAGTTTCTGCAAGTACATATTTTTATCTACATTGAATATATCGGAAAGCTAGTAATAATGACACATTAAATGAAAATAAAGATAACATGTCATTATGTTGTTGAGCTTTCAAACATTGATTATGTTTATCATTTGTAAATAACTATTTCTTTTAATGAGGGATGAAAATGCGAATTAAAATTATATAAAAATATCTCAAGTTTTTAGAATCAAACCCTTCATTTAAAAATTTAAAAATCTGATCTGAGAAGATAATTGGTATACAGTTAAAGTATATCACTGAGGGAGTCAGCAAGATTCCAGTTCCCCAAGAGTAAGTCTATTTCCCGAGGCGCTTGCGCCGAGGGAAATAGGCTTGCTCGAGGGGAACTGGCATCTTGCTGACTCCCTCAGTGATATACTTTAACTGTTTTATTATACCGATACAAACAAGACATTTGAAAAAGTTATATTCAATACTGTATTCTGTAACAATGTTTAATTCCAACAGAAATAAAAAAAAACAAACAACAAAACAGAATACAGACATGAATAGAATTCCATTTTATCAATAAATCAGTTCATTGTCCGAGTTTTTACCTAGTAAAATGGAAAGTAACATTACGCAAATCTTGAGATCGCCATTTCTGTTGTCATTTGCTACCAGTAAACTGGTTCTTTCTGATTGATATGGGACCAGTTAACTCGCGATGCATTTCGATTCATTAATGAATATTCATGAGTTTATTCGGAACATTTCTAAGTTTGTCGTAAGTTGAAAGAAAATGCTAAGTGTTCCGAATAGGTGTGTATCAGTTCATCAAAAAAACGTACTTTTTTTGCAGGGAATCAGTCTGTTTTGCAGAGAATCGGTTTATTCACGGTGATTTTCAGGAAATCAGCAAAATATATCGATTTACTTTTATATAGTGAAAAATCAGTAGAGGTATAATAACAGTTAATAATGCTTTTTCTGTCAACAAAATTATTTAAACTGATGAATATATTACACTTACTTTTATGTTTAATATCAGTCATGTTTTGAACAATTGATTTTTTACCAATCAAATAGCGGATGGAAATGCATTGCCGAGTTGTCGAGATCCATTTCATTGCATAACAGTTTTGATTTCCCATACACTTTAATGCACATGCTGGAAGGCCAGTGGAATTTCCTAGATTTTTTACGTCCATAGACAATGCGTAAACTGAATCGTCCCTCAAGCGATTTGTTTTAGTAACCATCGTGCAATTTTCGGGAGCTGAAAAAAAAATCAATAAAAAATATATACGAGGGCCGTTCAAAAATTACGCGGACTGTGCTATCATTTACTCTTATAGACGTCATATAATTATGAAATTTCACAGAAATATGTATCCTAAAGTTTCCAATAAATTTTGGGCAAAATTTCTATATTTTAGAAAAATTCTACTAAAATTATCGGTATGTTGATATCGCTGATGGAGAGGTACGGAGCACGACAAAAAATTTGAAGCAAAAGCATGCGGAATCCAAAATTTAACTCATTAATTTTCTATAATTCGCGATATTTTTCGACAATTTTCTCAAATGTATCTTTAAATTGTTCTATTATTAAGTATTTAGATTTCTGACATGATATTTGAAGTACTAACAGAAATATGGTGATTTTTCTCTGTTGCTATTCCCGTGAAAACGACTGTGAAAATGACGTCTCCTGAATTGAGGGCGCACCACACTTTTGTTAAATTATGTGTAATGGTCGAGATATCGCCAACATAGATCCAAAATATGCATAATAAAACGTGTAGTAAACTAGGGTATTCATGACATTCGTCCACAAAAAGCTTATTGAAATTTTAGACCGTTAGACATCTGTAGAAAGGCTATACAGGAGGACGGGAAGAAGATTATCGACGAAAACTTTATCCGGACTGTAAAGAACGTGATTGAGAGTGACCAATGTCACGCTATATCTCATAAATACCTGCAGTTTTTGGTTTTAAAACAAAAAAAAAAGAATATTATTTACTTGTTTAATAGATTTTAAGTTTGACAAGAAATGGTGTTTGGATGTTGAGTAGATAAAGTAACTAAAACTGTACAGGTACTCTTGGGAAAACGTCGAAGATTTTGCTGCTCCATGACTTAAGGGGAGACAGGAAACATGTCACATGACTAAAAAGACATATTACGTCATAATCGGTGACGATATACATGTTAAACGTTGTTAAAATCAACAGTTATTGTGTAATTTTATTTCAAATTCTAAAATTGTTTTTAAAACATTTAATTCTAGTAATTATTATCAATAAAATTTTAAACATCTTGCCATCATTTAGATATTGTGAAGTTGCCCAATCCACACGTTTGTTTCTCTTTACCCTGCAGTCTGACGTCAGTGACGTCATAGACGTAGTGTTTGAATTCTCAGTGCAGCGCAATCAAATACACACACCCGTCATGATCAGTTTTATTTCATAATAAACAGGTCACAGTCAATGTAACGTGATAAATTTCTGAAGCAGATTTTTTTTAATTAATATTTTTTCGTGTTTAGTAGCAGAGATTCTCTCTATTAAGGGGGGACCTATGTCGTTCGACGTCAAAGCAGCGTTATGTGACGTCACAATAGCGACGTTTGTTTCTTTCCCGCTGACTTTTGCAACTGTGATTATAGGCATAACATTGTTATTAATCAAAAACGTACACATTTTACAAAAAGAAATTTTTTTCATCATTTAAAACAGTTTTATTTGATTTATGGAGTTTGTTAATATCAGAATTCTCTTCCTTTGGCTTGATAATTCATAGCAATTTCAGTTGTGAAGAAATACCTCTATGATATGCTGATATAAAAATGCAAAAAATATAAGATAAAATTCAGCAAAGACAGCGGCTTAAATTAGGGAAATATGTTTAATTTTATGATTACCATTAATTGTATTTTCTGGATAAAACTAAGAAAAATAAAGAAATGTACTTGTACCTATATTTACTTATTGATTTATAGTGTACGTAGATTTTATTGTATAAAGTCATTCCTATTAGGTGTTGGTTGTTGACGGGGAGGGGGGGGGGGCACAATGATTAGAATGAAGAAAAAAAGAGTATATCTGTTTGAATTATTTCTTATCAAAACAAAATACTCGTTTTTTGCAAAATAGTTTTATATTCAGATGTTTGTCAGTGCTAACTTACCTTTTTTTTGTAGTGCAGAAAGGTCAATATTTATGACAAAAGAGTACGAAAATAAAAGAAAACGTTATATTTCTCGTTTATTTTATCATAAAGGTATACTTTTTTCCTTGTTAAAATAAAGAGAGGGGTTATTTCTTTCAAAAAATGTGAATTACCACATTTTCACACAAAGACTTTTTAAAATATTACCTGTTATGCATGTCGGAATTGTAAAAAATACGACAAGAAAAACGGGGTGATACTTACATTGTGCCCCTGTATAATTTTTCATGCGAGATGAATAACAATGAATTTGCCTTCATTTTAAAGATACAAGTCATATAAATTAAATACATGTTGATTTCGAATGTGATTTGACATTTTTGGTTCTTTTAGCGCATATTTGGAGTAGAACAATAACGTCTGAAAATAATCTATTTTTAGCATTTCACACTGTTTTTGCACGTGCTCCTGTGTAAAAATAAGCATATAAAGGTATTGTTTTTAATACCTAAAAATTAAGATCAAGTGGTCAGGAAAGAAATGTCAAAGTTTTGAAAATTTCACACAAAGACTTTTCGGACATAGGTCCGCCCTTAAGGTCAAGATCTAGTAAATGAAAGGTGCCTACAGATTTATCAAATTTGAGAAATAAATTCCTTTATTGATGCTTTACAACTTTAGCTTGGTCAAATAAGGTGTTTCGGGGCATAAAATGTAGGTAAACAAGATTAAAAACTGTATTTTAAACTGTCATTTTCAATGAAAAATTAAGAAAACCAGTCATAAATATGGGAGTTTTTTCATAATCGGACAGATGAAATGTATCCAGATTGCCTACAGTCTCTCAGAAAACGGTAATTAGTATGTTCGTGGCCTCTTCTTTAAATCAATATTAAATTTCATATAGGTATCCGGTTTACTTTTCATATGATTTCAAATTGAATATCATGAAAATACCCTTTTTTCTACATAATTCTGCTAAAGCTGTAAAGTACGGGAAAAAGAAAGTTGAAATTGATTATGACGTCATAATGGATTTAGCACCAACAAATAAGTCTAAAGTTATTTACTAGATCTTGACCTTAAGATAATTTTGAATGTTTATGTTTTCGTGTGACGTCACAATTGATTTCCCGCACTAGGAAAATACAAACGTGAAACGTTTTTATCATGCTTACGTCTAATTCAACGATGTCCTGTGCGATATTGAGGTAAATAATTACGATGAAGGAATGACATTCAATCGTAAATTTAGAAATATTTATTGACAGAATTTTTTCCAAATGAGGTTTTTGTCGTTGAAGCTGCCTTGAAAAATGCAGGAATTATCCCACCAAAATACTATATGAAATTAAAACAATTGCTTTCAGATAATTCAAACACTATGAATATTCTGAAATATTTGAGTATATAGTGTTATCTATTATATTTATCGTTTGGGCGTAAAAATTCGCATTATGGACTCCGTTATGAACCCATAAACATGAAGTATCTAAACTCCATACAAACTTTAAACAGAGCGGTATTTGTGGGGCGATATCGTTCAAATAAGTCAAGAAATCCCATGACAGGACCGTTTTAAAATGTTAAGTACATATTAAATTAGTAATATAAAAAATACGAAAAAAAAATCATTGACAGGAATTTTTTCAGGTAAAGGTCCTGTTCCTCCTTAATGGTATGAACTGAAAACTCACTTAAAAATGATACCAATTTACAATATTTTGATATGAAATTTTGAAGACCATATAAGTAAAGATTCTCTTATATTATGTGTGACATTTTTCCCGATTATGTCGTCAAATATTTTTTCTGTGCCACAATTAAGTCCGCGTAATTTTTGAACAGCCATCGTACTGCTTCGTTTCTTTATTTGTAATATTTTGTATACATCTCGACGGATTTTCCCGTATTACCCAATCATAACAAGGAGCGCACGGCGGGTGTGACCGGTCAGCAGGGGATGCTCACTCCTCAATAGCACCTGATCCCACCACTTATGTTTTTGGGTGCGAGTTTGCCCTGCTCCTATTTTGTATTGTTAAATGGACTTTCTAGCTTGAATACCATTCGTTATTTCCACATATTCATGTACTCAGTTGGAATTTACTCGATGAAACCACCTTTCCAAATGATTATATCCAACAACATATTAAAAATTTCTGTTATTTAACCCATCACATATACTAGTAGCTTTTCAAAAAAAAAAATCAGACAGAAATATAAAGAAAACAAATTGATACAACCCCAAATAAAATATAAAAAAATAAAAAGAAGCTTTTGTTTCAGGGACCCCCTCCCAAACTTAGATAGACTGGATTGTAATAATGAATAAATATAAAAGAGAAAATAATTACAAAACTAAAGCAGTCCTTCAAAAAAAACTTTTAAGTACCTTGCTTTCTGCTTTTGCATACAAACGTTTTGTTTCTTTCACAGCTTTCAACGTGCAGTTTCTTATCTGTAAGGTTAAAATACAGACAGGCCATTTTATCTTTCAGCTTCTCTTTAGGCATGATAATTTGATGGCGGAGCTTAAACGATTTGCAGTCTAGATACATGCTCTCATTGTTGGATGTCCGCATAATTCCACCAATCCAAACATCTGAATAATTACTACAAAACAAAATTATTTATACCAATTAAAATACTTTCGGATTGTTGTTTAATAATGTATCATTGTACAACCGCTTGAAAAGCGGGAGGGTATATAGTAATCGGGATGTGCGTCCGTCCGTCTGTATGTCTAGCTGTCTGTCCGTCTGTTACGCTTTGGGGTACCCATCTCTTATCTGCAAATCCTCCTATACCACTGAGGGACATTTAATGAGACTTTCACAGAATCTTTATTTAATGCCATTATGCACCTCCTGTTTTACTTTTTGATACCACACATAGTCTGGGTTTCCCGTAGCAAAACATGACACTGCCATTATATTCTTACCTTTAACGTGAGGTGTGGCGGCTTCTGAATAACATGGGACAACACGAGATAGTCCTCTTTACATGTTACCGTAAAAAATATAGAGAGGAAAATTTCCCATAACAAAACATGGACACTGCAATTATATTCATATTGGAGGCCGAAGTATCATTTAGTGAGCATGTCAAGTTTTAAAACAAAACAAACGCGGGAATCCCGATCACGAAGAGTGTCATTCCCTACACTGCCGTTGATTGTCGCGGAAATTACTTTTTTTGTTGTATTTTTACATACCTATGATTTTCCATCGCTATGTTCATTTTTTAACAAATGACAAAGAAATAACTATAATAAGTAAATTTCTAAAAATAAATATTACATAAATCATTTTCTTCAAATCTTCAAAAGGTTCTAAAAGATCTTTGTTATTATTTTAGTGGAATGGAGCATTGGTAGGTTTTTATAATACCGTTAATATAAGTATCAGTCACATAATCCAGTGATGGGGTAATATACTGTACGTTGCGAAACCGATGCGCTTTTTCTTATATATATATATATAAAAATGGCGTGTCTGTCGACCGTCGCCCAACCTTCGATCATCATCCGACCATCGAGGGTCAGGTTATAAAATCAGTCGTCCGTCGTTCAACAATAAGGGTTTCCAAATTTTCGGCCGACGGTTAAAATCGAACTGTAGCTTAGAGCTCGATGATCAGGCGACAATTGGCCGACTTCTGAATATTTAACCTATTATGCCTTGGTCACATTTAAGACGATGGCCGCGCGACCAATTTTTTTTTGGTATCGTCGGCTGAAAGAACATGATCGGCCGACACGAGTTTCGGGAGACACGTGGCAGTTACATTGATTCCTAGGGACACCGATGACTAAAATAACGAACACAATTTTTTCTTCTTCAGAAATCAGCAATATCTTTCATAGATCTATATTCAAATAGGTAACTTTGGTGTATGCAAGGTAAAGTGAGAGAATTTTGTAAGATTATGACACAATGTTAAAAATTTTTGCAAAATTTGGTAAAGAATAACATAGAAAAGGAATAAAAAGGCGCATATCTTAGCAGCAAAGAAAACTTGAGATTTCTTTAAATTTTACGGATTTATTATTTATGTCATTTCCATTCAAAATATATATACATCAATGCAAGCTTCAAAATTTTGTTTAGAATTACATAGAAAAATACAAAAGGCGCATATTCTAAGCAGCAAAAGATTTCTTTATATTTTACGGAATTATTATTTATGTCATTCCCATTAAAATATTACTATTAATCCATGCATCAAAATTCTGTTCGTGTTATGTATCTTTAACCCCCTTCCCCACAGTCACGCATTTTAACGCATAGACCGTGCCCCACAATCACGCATTTTAACGCATATACCTTTACCCCACAATCACGCACTTTAACGCACATTGCGTTTTTTGACGTTTTCTGCTCTGATACCGCGTAACGTTTTGATGGTATGACATTTATTCATGAATAATATATTTTTTCACTTCCATTCTAATATATTTCGCAAATAAGAATATTTTTCCTCGTTCTAATATGTCCGAGTCGTTCGATTTATTAGACGAAACTTGGGATGCGAGACAAATTAAGAAGGTCTTTCTTTTGACACTAAATAAGCTCACCACTTGAACCACTGGGTTGGTGATGTAGATATCCCCAAATCTTGTGTGAAATGGGTCCCTTGATCCAGAATTTATCAAATTCGACAAATGAATATTTTTATGTAAATAATTGATCAAAGTGTTTCCAGAAATCGACAGAAGGAACGGATAAAATTACCAAAAAAAAGATTTAAGTTAATTCATACTCATACAACTGAACATCGTCGGAAACCCACGGGTGATCTCGTCTTTACTTATCAAAAGACGAGATCACCCGTGGTGTCCGACGTTGACAACTGAAGAGAAAAGAGGTTTTGTTCATAGAATAAAGCTTTGTTTTAATTTACATTTAATCTTATTTCTTGTTCTATTTAATTCAAATTCGTAAAAATACAACCTTATTGTTTCCGCCTTACACATCAATAAAAAAAAAATACATACACAATTGGAAAGGAAAAAAAACTTAAAAACTTGAAAAAACGGCAATATCGTGTTGAAAAAGATGTAGGTTAATTTAAATTTGAATAATTTCATTATCGAATCAATGTTTCCAATATTCGTAAAAAAGTGTCGCACTTACTCGTATGCATTGATTTTTAAAAATATACGTACATGTATATACATAAAACAAGGTATTCGGGAAAATTTTAATGAAAGTATACTACATACTTGTTTAATATTTTTAAAAACAGGGCTGAACAAACACAAGTCTGTCAGCCAATGGTCGCTAGTAATACCCTGCTCTGACGTGAATATATACTGATATTATGTTAATTAAAATTTACACAAGTTCAGTTACGGGCATATGCACGGACAAATAGGAAGTTGACATCAGATTCATACAAATAAATCCCGTCATATGGCATGCCACAACAAAGTATGTGCTAAAATTTCAATCATCTGATAAGTAGTTGCTGGAAAAAAAAACTGCGACGGAAATGTGTTATGTATTGTACGACAGACGGACGGATTAACAGGCAACTGACATCGGATTTTAAAAAAAAATGGATCCCACGATATAGCATGCCTCAATGGAGAATGTGCGAAAATTTCAAGCATCCTTGATGAGTAGTTGCTGCGAAAACTGCGATCAAAACTTACGAACAGACACACAAACAGCTAGACGGACGGACAAACACACAAGGGTAAAACAGTATACCCCTTCCCCTTCCTCTCTCCTTGTCTTCGAAGCGGGGGTATAATTAAATCAAAGTACTCAGAAGTACAGAGAGCCGGGCTCATTTACAGAGTAGAATGGATTTCTTACATGAATCTCGTTTATATTCTGACGAAAAAATTATTTTAAAACTATCAAAATAAATGATAAGACACTGACAGTGAGTTTTTCAATCCTAATACCACGGTCCGATTTTGTCAGAATCAGAATTAATCTGGTACCGCAGCTAAATGTAAACAAACAGGCCAGTCTGGTTCTCTCTCCTGCTTTACCTCGTATGTGTAGAGAACTACGGTAACACTGATGATCAAAAATCCTTACTCTAATGAACTATGTTCTTTGACTTATGAAGTTTTCAAAGTCATTACTACTAATGTTTATTTTATATAGATAAAACTTCGTTTTATTTTTGTTGCTTTATTTAGCGTTTGTATTATCTCAAAAGCGGTTGAGAGTAAGAACTATATTTTTGCACGTAACTTTAAAATGGCGACTATGGGGTCAACATCCTGCCTTGAACAGGATCACATAAGCCGGCAATTGCTCTTTGAACAATAAGCCCGGCTAAAAATGTGTCCAGTGATTAGTTTTATAAGTGGGTAAATAGTTCCTTAGGAATATATTTGGTCCGCCTTGAGTACGTTTATATTGTCAGTATATTTAAAATTTTTCACTTATCCGCTTTTGCATGTAGTTTTAGAATATATATATATATATATATATATATACGTGTACTCTGTAGATTCAAGTTTGTCAACACTGCATACACTAGAAATGATAGGTTTAAGAAAAACTTAATAGGGGAGTAAACTTTCCATAAGAGGACAACGATGTGGTCTGATGTGATTCTTCCACCAGCTATATGTCTATGTTATACACAGAAAAAAACCCATATGACATCCACATTGTGAATGGACACTTAACTCGTGACTGAATTCATGTAAAGGGTAATGCAGAGATACATGTATGAGGAGCAATGCATTAAGGCGCTAAAAACTCCATTCTTGTGTGTGTGTGTGGGGGGGGGGTAAATATCTTTGACCAACAGCGATCTAAATTATTTCCTACATCAATCTCCGGAATTACCGGTATATTCAGCATTTCTAGCATTTCTTTTCTTCGATCAACAGCTTGTTATATAGAAGGACTGATTTGAAATTGTGTACCTCATTTATAAAGTTTCAGGAAATATGCTAAGTATTTCCGACATTTTTTTGTATTTCCGTTTTTTTTTTTTGGGGGGGGGGTGGTGAGTTTTATGTCTACCAAGTTTATGAATAATCGATAGATAAAAATAATTAAGTACACGTGAATTATATTATTTCAGTGATTGCACTTTGTCCGAGACACATGATACTGATCTCAAATTTAACATGATTTTCTTTAAAAACGAAGAAAGCTTTTACCTTTATTATTTTGGTATCAATAATTTATCGTTGGGTTCTGATTTTCAGATCGTATAGCCTTCAGTTCCGAGCAATCACAAAAGTATAGATATTGAAAAATGTGTGTATCGATCTACTACTTAATATACGCACCAACTCCTGATAGATCCTGAGTGATTGATTAAATTTTATTGTATACCATGTTTCTTAATCTGAATTTATTTTCTGCAAGTATTTTTTTAGATACACTATTCTTTTTCTCAAAGTGGACAGGTTTTCGTCAGCATCGACGCTGCAAGTTTATAAAATTCATCGTGTTCAATATGATAATGAAGGCAAAATGTATTAATTACTTTGACAACACTTGGAAAAAATTGTGGAAATACCTACTAATATTACTCAATAATTAACTACAGCTACAATTAATTCATTTCCAAAGAACCCTTTTTTAGGAGTACTCCTTGATTTGCTTCACAAATAATCGGAATACTTCGGG